TGCAGTTGTAGTTTGGATACTTAATTTAGTTGCAAATTTCAAAAGAGCTTTTTGTTTTAATATTTTTTTTTAACTGTGTTTCATAAAAGCCAAAACAGATTCAGTATAAGTTAAAAAAAACATTAAAAAACAATCATTGAATCAAGTTACATGTGGGACGTACGTAATGTAATGGTTAAGGGACACAAGTGTCAAATATGGAGATAACAAACAGTTATCAAACTCAAAAGTCCATTAAAACGATTCAAATCCGGAGCAGAGCAAACGCGGATCTCTTAAAACATCAGATGTGGGATCAGGTACCTTGAGAAGTAAGCATCCCCTACCGACTTGTCACAGCTGCCGTGTACTCTGTCATGATCGGTAAAACGGTGGAAAATGCGTACACAATTCAGTGTCTAAATAATGGCCTAGCAATTCATATTAAAAAACCGCCAGCCAGCATTCGACTTAATGAGAGGTGTATTTGCTGACAAAGGCACTGAATCGGCCATAGAACTTGCTAAATGATGACCTTAAATGAACGACTGTTAATATTCTCTTTTAATCAACTTGTTTGTCTTGGGGAACATTAACCCCTATGCAAGTGATATGGTTATATTGCTACATGTACATATTAAGTAAGAGGAGTTGATGATAAAAAAAGTTGTTGCCATCACGTTTATTAGAAAGTTTTGTTGTTCGGTTATGATTTATGTCTTTTTTCAAGTAATATAATTATCCAAATATGAAGCAGATGTGTCAGACTCTGAGGTATCTTTTATTTCAAGTTTACTGGGATATATCGAGACGACATATGAATGGAAGTAACTATTGTTAATTGATAATAAGTATAAGTATTCGATTAATCTAAATGTCGAGTTGAAGACCACAGCAAACGTTTTCTTCTTGTCTTATACAAGTTTTAAAATAAATTCTGCTTCATATAAATACACAAATATGTCTGCTATAAACCTGAGCTGGCGCAATTGGTTCCCATGTAAATTCCGACAGATTGTTGGAGAACATGACCTAAAAAAAACTACATAGATATTGTAAATCAGAATCTCAGTATCTTTTTTTATTATCAACTTGAGAGTACATGGGTGTACAATAAAATTGCTGTTTTTTTATCAAAATAATTTTACAAATGATTATTGACGAGATGAGTAAATTTACGAGTTCCATTTTAATTTAACACGCAGTTGTCTATGATGTCAAAAAACCTGTATTTAATTTATTCTATGGAATGGTCGTATAAAGTGTTGTAAAGTAGTACGTTTTGATTTTATTGATTTTTGAAAAAAAAAATTTGATTTCAAATATTCTAAGAGTTTATTAGTATCCCCATCTGAATATATCTTCGTGTAGTACTCCTGAAGTTTCTCCTTCACTGCTATTAATATTTTAGTAAGAAGTAAAGAAAGAAGCTTGGTAGAACCTTTACTGGAACCCGCTATGTATCAGACGGACTGACAGACAGACGGACGGACGGACAGCGAGTAATCAGAAAAGCTTTCTTAAGCTTTCAGCTCAGGTGAGCTAAAAACGATGCTAAGTCCCTGTAATACATATTAGGATAAAATATTTAAAGCGGATTCCAGGCTGTTGTGTTATCCCTGTCTTTCTTTAAGTGCAAACTTATTGAAGTTTTGCAAGCGAGATACATGTGTACTTACAAACAAAATCTAAGCGTACTCGATTCGTGATAATTTGTACGTAGTAAAAATGTTGCACTTGCATGGTACTGCTTTGATATTGGAGTAAATTAAAGAAGTCATCTATTTTAACACGTTTTTTTAAATAAATGTATGATTTTAAAGGCTATATCTATATTAGTAAAATATCCACGTGTGAAAGAGACAGGTAGAACTCAATATTATCTATTATCTTTTATTTTTTAGTCTAAATCAACATTCCCAGCAGAATCGAATCCTGATTAAAACTCCTTCTTTTTCCTCAACAAAATGGCCAGCTGTCTAACTTGTCTAGAAAAATTCTAATTCCATGTATCTGTGTACAATGTGAGCACAGTTTTTGCCACCCGTGTATTACACTTTGGGAAGAACATACATGCTCATATTGTAGAGAAAGGATTTAGGTATTCCGACCTGTTGATAAACTATCATCAATAAGACACGGTCGGCGAGAGTCTTGTGTATCATATAGTCAAGCACAAAGAATTTCACCTGCATGAAACAGACGCTCAACTTCAATATTTTCAGGTAAATAAAAATGGGGAAAAAAATCAATGTTTGAAATTTCAAACACTTGAAGATTATAATATTATTGTCTTCTTTTATTTTTCAATATTATTGGTATTCAATCAAATTACTTTATTTCTCTAACACGTTTGCAGATACTAGCCTATTCCTAAATCTAAGATAGTGGATTATTGTTGGTCAATAATCAAGCATACAGGCATTGACAATAGTCACATACAGACTTGTTCGACATATATTGTATGTTGTTTTACGTCTCATACGAGATTTTTTTACTCATATTGAGTCGTCACCATATACCGGTGTAGGGCTTCAAATTTTGACCTTTACTCGACACTCACGGCCATTGAGCAGTGAGGGATCTTTATAGTGCCAACGCCTGCCGTGACATGGGGCCTCGGTTTTTAAGGCCTCATCCGAAGGACCTGCAACTTTCACTTCAAAGTGCCGAGCGCATGGCGAAGGAACAGTTGCTACCCATTTTTTATCGACTTAGGTCAGTCGCGGCCGTGATTCGAACTCACGACCTCCCGATCACGAAGCGAGCGCTCTACCAACTGAGCTACCGTGAATGGTGTGTTCGACATATAATATGCCCCCGTCTTATCTTGTTCTTTTATATATAATGAACCCCTTCTGTTATGTCGAATTTTTTCTTTAATTTGGCGTTGTTTACCTTAACTGTTCCCTTTCCACTGTCATTCAATCATGCGTGTTATAAGTTTTACGGACTCTTTCTTAGCTATACCTTTAGATATTGAGCTGATTTTTGTCAGTTTTGATTGATGCTTAAATATCAAGTTCGACTTTCACGTTGTTTTACATTTCAAGTCGATTTACCTTTTTCAAAAGAAAAAATGTTATTGTCTTTTAATATTAATATTTTCTAATGATGTACTATTTTCTTTTTTTTTTTAATTTATATTTTGTGGTTGTTCTTATATATAAATTGTGAACTAAGATTTGTTTATTAAGTTGTATTTAGGGACTTGAATCAGACACGACACGCACGCCCAGAGTGCCTGGTATTTTTATGACAAAGTGTTTGCGTTGGGCTATAATAGATTTAAATCCGAAGAGTGAAGAATTGTTACATTATGCTTAGCGATATAAAGTATATTACATTTATTAATTAAGTAAATCAAAGTGTCAAAGTTATCATGGCTGTCATGGTAGCTCATTCGGTAGAGCGCTCGCTTCGTGATCGGAAAATGGAGGGTTCGAGTCCCTGCTGCAAATGACCTAGGCCTATTTAAAAAAAAGGAAGCGACTGTTCCCTCGCCAAGCGCTTGATACTTTGATGAAAAAAGTTGAGGGTCCTTTCGATAAGACCTTAAAACCCGAGGCCCCGTGTCACGGTAGGCGTTTGGACGATAAAGATCCATCACTGTCAATCTGGTCGTCACAAAGGTGATCTGGTCCTAAACCGTGAATATTATTTATTTAATAGATGTACCATATCACTCTTTTTGTCTTGACCTATGGTGTTAATTTATGAATTCCTAGAAAGCATTGTTAACAATCGTAATGTACCTGCTCATGCAGTGTTTCCTCTGCCCATACACAGTTGTAATAGTCGATGAAGAGAGCAACAAAGTTATAAAAAGCGTTTCAGATGCGTTTTCACATTTACTGAAAAAGCAGCTGTCAAAGATGTTTAAAAGCCTAGCGCCTGGCCTTTAATTCATCGTGCAGAATAATTATTTAAAGTGTTGGATAGTTGTATGTTTAAAGTTATTAATTTTAGGTAAATTTTTGTGATAATTTTTTTTACACAATCCAAAGTAATAGTTTTCTAAATTTACGTCACTAAATTGATCTAGACCTCATTGAAATTTAAAAGTCACAAATGTAATCCAAAAAGATTATCAAGTTATTCAAAAAAAAAAAAAAAAAAAAAAAAAAAAATCGACAGTCAACAATCGATATTATTATTTTATTTAAAACTACTTAATTGAAGCTTTAATTATTGCATACAAGCATTATTACGGGTAGGATAAGTATATCCATAAAAACAAAAATTAAAATACATCTTGTAGATATCACAGAAAATGTCTTTCTATGCCAATACCAAGGCTGAAACATGTTATGAAACAATGCTAAAACTAAACGTTTTATAAAGAGGAAAATAAATAAATACCAAGAAAAAAGTTTTTTAATGAAGAACAAAATCACATAATAATAATAATCAATAAAATAAAAAAAATCCCTGATCAAACCTTTTACACAAAAGAAAAAATGGATGTACAGTACCAAAAGAAGTATCCAGATTAGTGTAAAACATAATTGCTTTAGTAATCCCTAGAAAAAGGATATGATGTTTACGTAGAACATTTTTTCAGAGGAAAAGGAAAATAAATGATACAAAGTACAGTGCAGACAAATATACAATAAAAATTCAAAATATCCTGTCCTATCTGATGTGTCAAGTCGAAAAAGAGTATTTCCGAAAGTCTTATAAATATTATTGCCACGCTTATCTTTGACGAAAAATTGACAAATAAATGTTCTGCGTACAGATGACTACGCGTTGGAGTATTCCGAATCCCTCCAAAGATAAATGCTTGTAAGAAAGGTAGATTGTTCAAGATGTAAACATGTAACACCCACAAACTAAATAACTGCATGGTGCACATACACTGAAAGTGAAGAAGCCGAGTTTCATTAGCATAGGGAATGGCTTCCTTTTCTTGTAAAAAATTTATACTATTACACATTCTAGTTGCATTTAAAAAATGCAATAAAACAACTCCAATGATGAAAACAAACATCAAGGTTAATAACAGGAATTTTTCTATTTTAAAAAAATGTTCTTGAACATCCAAGAATTCTTTCCCCTCTATCAACATCACTTTCTTTAAGAAACAAGGATATAGTTCTGAAATGATCAAGGGGTAAATAACCTCTTTTACAGCAAATACATGGATTGGCACCTTGTTGGATCATTTTCTCCAAAATTGTGAGGCAATTTGGAACATCTGTTGCTGACATGGTAATAGAATGAAGCGGTGTATTACCGAAGTTATCTTTGACATTTACGATACCTTGAGGATGTCCTAGAGTACTTATTGCAGATGGAACAAATTCAAAGGTGGAGCAATATTTTAAGGTACTAAAAGACAAATTTGATGTTTCTATAGGTTTATGTTTTGTGTTTAACAGTATTTCAACCATTTCGCTGCTTTGTGCCAAATGAAGTGACGTTCGGCCGATTGCATCTTTCTGAAATAGGGTTGCTCCGTACAAAAGCAAAAGTTTCGCTGCTTTTTTGAAATCACAAACTGCTGCAAAATGTAGTGATGAAAAGCTTAAAGAGTTTTCATGGAAATTTGCCAACAACATTTTAACACATTTCTTGTTACTCTCACTATGTATACCAGAAAAAAGAGTAATTGTTTCGCCTTTGTGGAATAAGTTACACATCATAGCAAAGTTTTTGTTGAAAATTGCATCACACATTTTAACGAAGTCATTTTCGAGAGGACTGCTCCTTAAGTTCTTAAGATCGTCCAGAAACAAAGATAACATTTTTGGTACAACATCACTTTGAAAAGACCATGGGAAGGAATTACAAATTTCATTTGGGACAGTTCCAGACCATAAAAGGTGTTCCACAATTTTCCGATTTCCGTTTTGTAATGCATCCTGTAAAATTCTCCTGGAATAGGCTGGTATCTCTAATTCATAAATATAATTGTAAATTGGAGCATTATAACGCACCAAAAGAGATACTGCTTCTTGGTTGTTTCTTAACACCGCTACTGCTAAGGGTGTTCTAAACTTACAGTCAAGTAAATCAACTTCACCTCCTTGGCTGAGAAGCAATTCTAACATTTTTATTTCATTATACCAACATGCCACAAAGCAAGGCGTCCAACCCATGACCTCGTCAGACTGATTTACATTTACTCCATTTTCTATCAAAAGTATAGCAATATCACAACGTTTAGTTCCGGCAATTTTACAAAGCAAGGGGATGCCATATTCGTCGCATGAGTTAACATCTCCTCCCTTGTTAAGTAATATCTTTATAATTTCTTTGATTTCACCTAAAACAGCTATATGTAATAAATCCGAAATGATCGAAACTTTTTCATGAAGTTGCTTCACAATATCTTTCGGCCTACCAAATACGTGTGAAAATAACAAATGATTGCCTGATGCAAGTAACCAATAAATTAATAGCCTTTTTCTATTCTGCAAGACATCTATTAAAGCGACTCTGTTTGTATTTGTGAGGTTCCAAAATTTTGGATTGGATTGGAGAAATGGTGATGAAAAACTGTCAGAACTGCAAAATTCGTCTAGCCTTTCAAGTGATATTTCATTTTTTGTTAAGTAAGACAGAAAATGGTTTACATAGTCCACATTTTGCCAAGGTTCGCTTAACAGGATATCATAGAACTTTCCATTTTTAATGTCTGTTAGAGCCCTTTTAGAAAAATCATCAAAAGAATTATCTTTAATAAATAATACGTGCTCATCGTCCATTGCATGCTTTGAAATGCGAATCCGTTCTCTTAGAAAATCGCCTTTACAACAGTGAATCATTACACTTGGAAAAAACGTACCAAAATGACCTTCAATCGATTCTTCAAGATTATCATGAATGAAAGAAAATGGATTCTCATGACCAACAAAAGTACCCTTCAAAGTTTGCAAATGACTATAAAGGCGCTTTCTTGAAATAGTATATGGAACCTCACAAGCTTGTAAAATCAAATCAAATTTGTCTCTTTGAATAATTTCCCGAGAGAATTCGAAAATTCGTTTGAGTTCATCCTTATCAAAAATAACCAACAAAACTAAAACGCAATACACTTCCTTATTTTGACTTTTCAAACGATCTAACTCTTTTCTATAGACAATTGTGGGGAATTGAAAAAATTCTGTTCCTCTTTTCAAAAATTCTGAGTTTGAGGAAAACATGTTACAAAGCAGTGGAAAAGCATAGTTGCTAGAACATATTGTTTTAAGTCACGATCATCAAATTTAACTTCTTTCTTACGAAGTGTCAGATAATTTTTAGATATTCCAATCTTTTCAGTGTCAGACAGCTGCAGTTCACTTGAGTCAAGATCAACAACGGTTCTGTTGAAAACTGTTGAAAAGGAAATTTGGCTGCTACCATTTAGTAACTGTCGTCTTAGAGTGCACAGTAGTTTTGCATTCTTTTCCTTGAATAATATTTGTAAAAGATCATTTAATCGTCTCCATAAATCAAATAGCAACTCATTCACTTGATATTTACCAAGAATATCGCCTATGACGAAAAGCTGTTTTCGGCCATTATATCTCAAATAGAGAATTTCATTAGGTATGGTTATTGGAATTAATTCATATCCGTCTTGCTCAAGTTTGAAGGATACATACTTCATTGTCACCGATTTTCCAATACCGGAGTGCCCAGTTATTATGACGGTGTTGTTCTTTTTAACTTGATTCAAGATCTCTAAAGTTCCACTGGTCTCAAAAACATCTTTATTTCTCACTTCCACTCTTTCAGTAGATGCACTGTATTTTCTGTGAAAAAAAGGTTTGATCAAAATCATTACACATGAGATCGACCTCTATTCAGCATATGAAATGGAGATTGCGAACAGTAATCAAGCTCAAAAGTCCATTAAAACAATACAAATTGGGAGCAAAGCATGAACGGACCTCTAAAAAGCATCAGAGGTGGGATCAGGTTCCATGCTGGAGTATGCATCCCCTGTCGATCGGTCATACCCGCCGTTCGCTCATTATCATGATCGGACAAACAAAAAATCCTTAGACGATTCAATGTTAAATAATAGCCTAACAAATAGTGGGAAAAACGTCAGATTGTATTTGCTAACAAGGTCATTGTATAGACCATAGAACTTGCAAAATAATAACTTTAAACGAGACTGTTGATATTCTTGTTTCAACAACGCAATATAATTATCGTTTGTTTCTTGTTTTTTGTTTTACTCAAGATAAGAATGATTTGATCCTGAATGCGCAATTTTGCTGGAGTTCATTTTAACTTATTCTACTCTCAGGAAATATACTTGTTTCATACTGACTATATCTCAATCATGAATAAGATCTACGAGGGTTGTCCGGTAAAATCGTGGACATGTTGTCTATATTGAAAATTAATCATCACTGCGTTCTAAAACTTTCACTACTTTTTAGTACATTTTTCATCAATATACATAGCAAATTTCAAATAGATATCTGCTCAAATAAACAAAATATGAGACTTTATGTTATGTATGGTATCGTCTTACGGCGCACGAATGATAACGTCAAAGTCTCTAAAGCAGCGTCACGTTTCCTCTTTGCTAAATATAAGTTGGATAAGCCCCACTTATATTCGGGAATTTCATTGATGCACATGCTTGATTTTCCCTTAATTCCTCCATAAACAGTCGAGGAACCAATCTCGCACACACCTGGGACCTTCTGAAAATTTATTAGTAAGTTATGGACCTACTCTCTCTATCATTCAACTAAACAGGCTCTCCTATATAGACGACGGTCTACAGTGACAGCGTCTTTTGCTATTGCCAGTAGCTGTTTGTCCGTATGTTTTGTTCTACCCGAGGACCCAATCAAAAAGCTTCCGCTTAGAAAACTCCCATTTCAGTTGTATACTAAAGATCTAGTGATATTTTTATTTTTTTTCTTCTGTAGTCATTTAAAGTTCCTTAGGGCGTTATTACTACATCTGAATCAAACTGAACTGCTCTCCGCTGCGCCGTAACGTCACCAAACGTCGCCATTTTTCGTGTGTTGCGTTTACCACTTTCCCATTTCAAATGCTCAGGAAACTGCCAAAAATTAAGCAAATGCCTTGATTTTTTATAAAAGACGAAATAATAGATAGTGGATTAAAAATAGGATAATTTTTACCCCAACTTTATCAATTTAATACTTTTATTTTGAAATAATACTCATGTATTCGCTAATGAAACCCTGGCGTTTTGATCGTGCGCCGTAGGACCGTACCCTGTGCACATTCAAGCATAATAAAATCTTTATATTTGCCTATATTTTATCAAACAAAATTAAGATTTACTTAAATTTTATGAATAAACATTTGGTGAAAATTTCAGCTTAGTGCGCCCATTATTTTTCGAGAAAAACGCTTTGTCCACGGTTTTACCGGACAACACACGTATTTTCTATATAGTTACATATTAAAAATATAATGAATGTAATAAGATTTATAATTTTAAATGGACATAAGTAGGCAACTTAGGTTCTTTCTATTACATGTAGATATTGAATCTAAAATGTTTCTTGAAGCTATTGGTAAAAAATTCCAGAGGATTTTGACAGAAAACAGATTTCTTTTTTCATGAATGTAAAATCCAAACAAACGTGAGTCTATTTGAACTGTTTTGAATGTCTTAGGGGAGGGGGGTGTCGAAAAGAGACAGGGAGAAATATATCTTTTTTCTATACTAATTCTATATATTTTTTTTTAAACAATGTAAAGCAACTCGGGTTAATTTTTGTTGTTAAGGGGACTTTAAACTCTACCTAATATTTTATCTATCTTTAGATAATGGTATTAGGATAACTATTTGTTCAATAAAACTAAAAAATGGCATCTTAATTCTCAAATAATGCTTCTGTTTGTCTTCAAAAGTATGTCTCCTTTCTTGAAAAAATATTGCTTATGTTACCTTTTATTCTGCTATTACACTGTATGTCACAATTAAATTGGTGGATTCTGTCGATGCCATGTCTTTCAATTTCACAAACTATGGCGTCAGTTTCACCTTGGCTAAGATAGCTTAGAGCCTTGAAAATAACAAATGAAAACCCCGTGCGTTGCAAACGCCATTGACGGCATTATTTGCAGCAAAGAAAATTCCAACAGCACTTTAAAAATTACGACGTCATTCTTATAAATTTGAAATGCTACAAAGATGTTGATTATTATTCAATGATATAAATTAAAGTTTCATGTTGTACAATCTGAGAAACAAATGTAACTGGAATAGTAACATTCGAAATTTATATCGGATTTAGTTCCTGCGCCGACAGAGCATATTGGCGTTTCTATAAATCGTCATAATATTTTTACTATGAAGGATATTTACTTAGAAGCTCACTATTTTAAGAAACATTGAAAAATAATAGTTATGCTATTATTGGTAGTATTGGCTTAACGTTTATAAATCATAAACATTGTCTATAATTTTTTGCGAGAACCCCTGAAATTGAAATTTTTATTTAACTTTCCTTAAAGAAATAAAATGTAACTATTTTGCTATTTTACCTATATAAAATAATCCAATAATGAAATTTGATTATAATTACATTCTTTGTGAATTCATTGATAGTTTCATGAACATTTTCAGGTAGGTTATCTTTTAAAAATTTTTTGTTTGCCCTCTCCAATCCGACTGACTAAAATTCGCCCGACTCATTATTTTTATCTCCAGAAAGCAACTTTTAAAATTCATTTTCTCATTCCATTAAAACAATGTTAAACTTCATATTTGTAAGTAATTTTCAGTAAACAAAAAAAATTTCACCTAACTACCCACCATTTATAAAAATCCCAAGTCTATCGGGAGAGGGCAAGCTAACGTTTTAGCTCACCTGTGCAGAAGGCTCATATAAGCTTTTCTGATCACATTTTGTCCAGCGTCCGTCTGTTTGTTCATTTGTCTGTAAACTTTTTTGACTTCTTCTCCAGAACCACTGGACAAATTTCAACCAAACTTGCCACAAGGTATCCTTGGGTAAAGATTATTCAAGTTTGTTCAAGTGAAGGGCCATGCTTTCTTCCAAAGGGAGATAATTACGAATAAGTGAAAAACTAATCTCATCATTAAAAAATCTACCTT